CGCCTGTTAATCAATAATGCATAGTCAAACAACAGCTGAAAAGAAACGTTCTGAAATCAAAAGTTGCAAAGAAAAAGGAAGCGATCATCAATCAGTGTCAGCTTTAAAATCAACGGTTAACACATGAGAAAAGGAAGATATCTTCAAAGAATTTCACTCTTTCCTGGAGAATTTTGATAACTCCATTTAAAATTATGCCATTTGGGAACTTGTTCCAGAATCATATGTCATTGGTATATGCTGATACGTTAAGAGGTATTATTTATGAGAATTTGATAACAGATGCCGTTTTCAAAAGTGGCAGAGAGGTTTTAGTTTTTCTCCTAAGTTGCACTTGGGAACTTGAAATTGAAAGATGGGATTTGGACCTACACTTTGGCAAACTAGTTTTACACTGTTTGAATACTAATTACGTGTTGCTGTTTCTAAGTGTTCATATCTACAAAATCACCCAAGTGATGTTAATAGCAGCGTCTTTGAGAGTCACATGACAGTTGCAATTTGTGCTGATAAGGTATCTGTGAGACATAATCAAATGAAGCAATGCAGATCCATACATGGTATGGATGTTGCGGAACTTGAAAGATTGCTTTGGATTTCCTTGCACATCACTAGTTTGATTCCGTTTTCATATATGATATCCATACGTATTTTTACCATGGATGTGGAGTGCTCTCCAAGTTACTCGTCCGGTGGTTATTCCGGTTACTTCAGCACTCCTACAAGTTCCGAACAATCAATTTCTGGACAAGAAAACGGTATGGTTAACGATTTGCAACGAGGTGGAAGATGCCCCTTCTTCTCGTATGATCTTAGCATACTGAATGACTGCAAATTCCCACTGGCAACAGAGATGAACTTTCAGGGAACTCCTGTAGGTTATCATGTTCTAGCAGGTCCTAGAGGCGGATATAACGCGAACCAAGGCAGTTTGGCCTCTACTTCTGGCCCTTGTGCTGTTATATGACCCATCGTATAACGGGGTAATTCTTGTTGCATTTACTCCCACTATGCCTTTTAACTGCTTGAGCAAGGTATATGATAATGTCTGGAAGATGCAAGAACATGCATCGTCTCTCTCACGCGCGCGCGGTCTTTCCTAGGTCGACGCACTCATATTGAATGTTTTCTTAACAGATATCATGTATCGATCGTCTGTTGCAGCATGCCAGCAACTAAAACCATTCGTCTCATCCACCAAGCAGGCTATGGAAGAACTTGGAACCATGCAATGTGGAGTTAAACCCGATCCTCCAAACTCGATGCTTTTCATCGCCAAGACTCGGTCGACGAGATGTATAGCCCGATTTCACAACATATGGATCAGATCAAATTAAATTCTCATCTTATGAGATCATATAATTAAAGTTAACGCCTCTTTAATCTTCTACAGTCCCAGACAAGGATTAGACGTTGAACATTACCAGGACAATGGAAATTCGCATGACAGTTGGCCCAAGAAACATTTCCACAGCTCAGCTGGATTTGAACGGTACCCAAGTTCAAGGGCCCATGCCTCATGTAACCAATGCTGTAATAATTCATCTGATTAGACAACATTTCAAATATTTATATACCTAATTTTAAGGTCTCACAGTAGAATTTTCTAGGAAAAAAATGGCACACTACATTTTGCATTTCACTACATTATGCAAATGCAAATTTCCACGACTTTGACTGTCAGAATCTTTAAAAAATATATCGTATTGTATCGTATCCGTATGGTTTCCTAATAAAATGGGAAGACGGAGAAGGGAAGTGCAACCGTAGGAAAACCAAACCTTTGTAGATACGGTCTGAAAAATAGTGCTGATAAAATAAAGCAATAAGATTTCACATGGCTCGAGATCATGTCAGGTCACCCTCACATTATGCACTAGTGTTGAGCTTTCAATCACTGACGTTGGAGATTTTAATAAAAAATGACCGTAAAAAATAGACATTATTAAATTAAAACCTTCATTAAATTTTTTTTTGGAAAAACAATTCTCGTGTTAAATTAATTAAAAAAATAACTCCTAAATTATTTACATAAAATATCTCTCAGTCTACTAAAAGTGAGGTCAGACCTCAAAAAAAATTAAAAAAAATGAATTCATGCATTTCTTATATTATTTTAAAAAATAATTAATGATGATTTTTTATTTAATAATGCCTGAAAAATAAATATTTAGTAATTTCTAGATATTTTTTCGTGGGTGACATTTTGCAGAAGATCTGGACAATGGAAGCAAATCTCTAGTGAAAGAGACGGGGAGCTAAGGGACAAACAACTACTGATATGATGTATCCTATTTCTCCAATCCACTGGTTTCTTTTGTTATTCGTGAATTTTGTTCTCTAATTACTATTATTTATGTTTCTCATTTTCAAATTTTTTTTGAACAATTAAAACTTAATTTTATTAATAAAAATAGAGTAATCAAAATTATAAAATATCTAAAAAAATTAAAGATAATAATCATTAAAAACGCAAACAAAAATAAAAAATTAAACTAAAAGATACAAAGAGAATGAAACATTCCAAATAATAAAACAATCCAATAATATTTATAAAATTTTTATCTATGTCGAACAAGACGCTTTACAATATGATAAAAGAGTGATGAGCGAACCAAATAATTTGATAGACTGTTTTGCTACACAATTCTTGTTAGAGAAAATAACCTCAGTGACCGAAAATATTTTATAATATACGATTTTAACCAACTTTTTTTGGATTTGTCAAAATGACCAACAAAATCGCAACGCGAACTCTAACTTCGCAACTCAGTTTTCAAATTCGCATTGCGATAGTCCAAATTCGCGTTGCGATTTTCCTTTTTGCGTTGATATAGTCCAAATTCGCATTGCGATCTTAAATTCGCAACTCAGTTTCCAAATTCACGTTGCGATTTTTCATTTCGCGCTGCGATAGTCGAAATTTGCATTACGATTTTCCATTTCGCGTTGATATAGTCCAAATTCGCATTGCGATCTTAAATTCACTACTCAGTTTCCAAATTCGCGTTGCGATAGTCCAAAATCGCATTGTGATTTTCCATTTCACGTTGCGATAGTCGAAATTCGCATTGCGATTTTCCATTTCACGTTGCGATAGTCCAAATTCGCATTGCGATATCGCAACGCGATCTTAAATTCGCTACTCAGTTTCCAAATTCGCGTTGCGATAGTCCAAAATCGCGTTGCGATTTTCCATTTCGCGTTGCGATAGTCCAAAATCGCATTGCGCGTGCATTTGTTTCTTAAGAATTTTCTCTAAAAAGATGGTATCCGCGCGGACGTGTCGAAGACACGTATTACCACGACCACGACTACGACGGCGGCGCGCGAGAGTCCCCTTGTTCTCTTTTACTCAACAAGGAAGTGGGAAATTCAAGCCTTAAATACCCATTCTCAATAGTGTTTCCAATACAATGTGGATTGAGCATTGTAAGTTGCATGCATTGACTATAAATGCAAGAGTAAGACTATCGCAACGCGAAATGGAAAATCGCAATGCGATTTTGGACTATCGTAACGCGAAATGAAAAATCGCAATGCGAATTTGGACTATCGCAACGCGAAATGGAAAATCGCAATGCGATTTTGCACTATCGCAACGCGAAATGGAAAATCGCAATGCGATTTTGGACAATCGCAACGCGAAATGGAAAATCGCAATGCGATTTTAGACTATCGCAACGCGAATTTGGAAACTGAGTTGCGAATTTGGAAACTGAGTTGCGAATTTAAGATCGCGTTGCGATATCGCAATGCGAATTTGGACTATCGCAACGCAAAATGGAAAATCGCAACGCGAATTTGGAAACTGAGTTACGAAGTTGGAGTTCGCGTTACGAATTTTAGATCACGTTGCGATTTTGTTGGTCATTTTGGCAAATCCAAAAAAAGTTGGTTAAAATCGTATATTATAAGACATTTTCGGTCACTGAGGTTATTTTCTCTTCTTGTTATATTGATAAACGAATATTTACAAAATAGGGAATATGACAATACGTGACAACCAACAAACCAATCAAAAAATAAATGTTGTGAGGATCTTTATGGAAACATCAACAAGACTGCAGACGATGATAAAAACTTACCTGAAAACCTCAAGGAAGGTGCCATAAGAATAGAGAAAGCATGTCACAAGACTAAAGAAAAACGTCTCACAAGAATATAGATTCTTATTTAAATTTAAAAAAATACATAATATAAAAAGAACAAGAAAAATAATAATTACCGGCGGACATAAACAAAAAACAATAAAGAATAACACAGCACAATAATATTGAGAGAAATAATTATTCTCATTTTCAAATTTTTAACATTAATTTCCGATATTACAAATTTTGAATTCGAATTTCCCAAGGGGGTATGATTTATTAATGCAGCTTGGAACACGAGGCTTGATGAGTTTGTAGCCTGGAAACGTGAGGGGATTTAATGTACGTCACTTTCCCTAGAAAATGGCAAGAAAATTGTTTAGTATATGAGAATTTAACAAGACAATAGACGAGACAAAGATTTTAAACTGTCATTGGAATTACCTGATTCCCTCCTAGACATGTCAGCCGAATCATATCCCCCCTGCTTTCAAATTGTATCTCTTAGAATTTAGGGAAATCATACGTCTTGGTAATTTAAATTGATCTCAAAATTCAATTTGATACTTGTCCTTTTATCCAATTAAATATTCAAATTTAATTAGATGATCCAACTATGCAAGTAATAATTTAGATAAAAAAATAAATTGAGATATTAATTTAAATAATGAGATTAAATTTAAGTATTTAAATTAGATAAACCAATTAGATATTATTGATATATAATAGCGTTTAGAATGATATCGGTGGTTTGACATTTAGGGTTTACGTTAAGAGTGCCAAGCGCTTAGATGAGATTGCACATTTAGGTGACCCGATTGGCATATTTAGCAGCTTGAAAATTTGGTCTAAATTAAATATTCCTTTATAGAAGAAAGAATGGTAATGGGTAAAAATAAACGAAAGACATAGGGGTATAAATAGGAGTTTACTTTCCCATTACTAGTGGAAATTGCTCACAAGTCGCGACCTTACACGGAACCAATACAAGCCAAAACAATGCTTAGCGGCGGGTGGTAAAAGTCCACCTCTGCCCAGTCCCCCTGCTTTATAAGCAGCAAAAGAAAAATGACTCAAATGACCGGAGTATTCGGCCACATTAACATGGTATTATAATCTACTAGCCAGATTACTAAAAACTCTAGCTAATACTACTTTCAAAGGTGTGTAAATATAGTATCCAATTGAAGAAGAAAGACGGTTTCTTTTTTCTTATTTAGCGGAATTGGCCGCCAGAGAAGGTCTGGCCGAAGGACCAGCCGGCCGGGGCAACATTGTTGGAGACGACAGTACGGCCATCACTCGTTGTGACCTTAAACGAGAGGCTTTGTCCGTTGAGATAGCTGTTGCTCTGCCAGTTCTGACCCCAGTTCCTCGACATTGGCTGCCAACCGGTCCTGGAACCCTTGATGGCTACTGCATGTACGTCGCCGGCTCCGCCGACGTTGCTGATGAGAACTAGGTTAAAGTAGGAGTGACCGTTCATTGTGAACCTTATGCCTCCCTTTCTTCTGCATGGTACCCTACAGACATAACAAAAACCCCACCAAATGTAAGCGATGTTTCTAAATAGTTTATTACATTGTTAAAGATAAATAACACACTTTTTTCACCTTCTGTAAGAAACAGGGACAATCCCAGCTCTGTACTGAGCAATGTGTTGGAAAACAGGCTGAGAAAGGTCGAAGTGTTCCAAAGGAGGGTTGCACCAGCCGCCGGCATTGTTGGGGAGAGCATTGTTTGGTGGGCAGAAATTGGTGGCCGTGACCAGAATCGAGCCCGGCAAGCACCATTTGCCGTCGTTGACACACTTGATCTCGTAGCAAGAACCACAGCTTAGCCCATTGTTGAACAGAGCAGTGCTCAGAGCAGCAGTGTTTGTCCCATAACCCTGGCTATACAGGTTACCATAACCACAAGCTCCACCTGCAAAAAAAGAAAATTAGTCAAATAAGCCATTATTGTACCTCCCAAGATTTGCTTCCATTTGTGGCACATACCCATTGTTCCTGAAGCATCACTTCCACCGTAGAAGGTAGCATGAGCATTGATCCAACCACCACCATATCCATGAACAGCTGAGACCATTGAAAGTATAGCCACGAAGAAAGCCCCAGCAAGAGCCATTTTCCCTGGAGGTTTGAAAATATGAGCTTTGATAATGTGAGGCAGTTGAGTGATGGAAATTTGGTTGGGGGGGGGGGATTTTATAGAATATTTTGGGGAGGAGGCCACCGTTAACTTGCAACTAAAATTAACTACCACTTGGGAACAAAAATATGCTTATTATTATTATTATTATTATAGTCATTAAATGAACCTTCTAATTTCAATAATAAGTTGACGTTTTTGTTTTAAATTGATCCAGAAAAAGGAGAAAAAAAAGGACAAATGCACATGCAATAGCTTCAAATGGCTGTGTTCCCGAAGCTTGAAAATTGACACCGCATGGTTTTTTAGTTTTATTTTTTAAAATTAATTATTCTAATTAATTTTATTAAATAAATCTAATAAATTAAAATTTTATAATTATTTTAATTAGGAATACATTAACGATATAATTTTTTTGAATTGTCTAGAGTAATTACAACTTGTAAGATATATTTTTTCTTAGTTTATTGTCAGCATATATACACATTACATATGTCACTACTCAAACTCGAATCCTCTAAATAGAAAAACATTTTTGTCATTAAAATCATTTAATGAGTCCCTAATAAAACTTTATTGGACAATACGACATTAGATCTAACACTGAAAATAGAGATAAAAATGATAATAATGAAAAAAATACTGTCATTTCTCAAAAAAAAAATAACACCCTTCTCGTCAATAATTTTTTTAAAATAAAAACAAAGAGGGAGAAAGCCCTGATTTTTTTTATAGCTTTCTATATAAGAAAGTTCCCTAAAATATACTCCAAGCCTCCAATTATGTACAAACACCGTCCATTTGCATATATTTGTTACCTAGATATATTAATGTTTGATATTCACAATAATTTTTAATTCAATTTATCATTAAAATTTTAAATTATTCAAATCCGACTCGAAATCTTAATTAATTATCATTAAATTTAAAGATAAAATACTTTAAATTGGCGTTATATTTAACTTGTATTAATTTTCTTTTCTACTTCCGCGGCACAAGTCATTTTTGCTAGTTGGTCCTCCCGGCGAAAGCACATGGGTTGATATGGAAAACATCGAAATTCAAAAGGGATTGAAGAAATTTAATTTGGTTGAACAATGAATCTGTGGTTCTGATGGTACTGGGCTACTGCCCACTGACAGCGGCCGTTAACTAGGACTCAAACTAGGGGCGGGGGGAATTTATTTCCCAAAATCTATTCTTGATATACCTATTTAATTCCATTTATTGACTTCCCCTTATTTTTCATAATTTTATTGTACCATCATCTACTTCCACCAAGAAGAAGGAAAAAAGCGTTGAAACCACGTGAAAGAGAAGACAAAACATTAGAGAGAAATGGTGATTTGCTGGATGATTAGGCAAATCACGATCTTTGGGTGTTGACAAAACAGGATTAAAACCTGGATTTTCTCAATCGGACTGCGGGATAAAAGGGCCGTGATTCTCGCCTTGTACATTTGTTGAATCAAATCAAGAGCCAAGTGTACGTATATCTACAAGCATCAAGAGATAAGCTGGTGTAGCTTGACTTGATTGGAATCACCATGTTCAGAGATGAACGGAGGGGGGGGTCCGGGTGCGGTCATACCGCTAAAATTTACAAAATTTCTTGTATTTTATATAAATTATTTAATTTCACCATCGACATTCTAAAATTTCTTGGATTCCAGGTACTTGTTAGTCGTAGGGCGGGTGTTTCTGTTCAGGCTGTGTTGTTCATTTTGTGTACTTTATTTGTTGTTACTTATTACCTCAAGGCACACTCTTTTTCCTCCATTTAAGATTAGAGAGGTTTTTTAATGAGGTCACTGAGGTGGTCTACTTTGTAAACTTTCATAATACAAAGTACCTTATTTCAAAAAAAAAATGTTCTTCCTCCCCTCACTTTCAACATAACCCCCATTTTTTAATTCAATCACTGTAGGGTTAGTTTGGTTTATTATACGTCTTTTTTATTTATTCCGTGGAAATGGAGCCGATAGTGTCTTGAAAGTAGATGGGGGTAGTTTTCGGTTTGTTGAAATTAATAAAATAGGTAATTTAATATATTTTTTTTGGATAAGTAACTTATATTCATCCAAAGAAAGCAGCAAAAGCTGCAACAAACAACAGTAAACACTATATCAGTCCCCCTCATATACAAGTGCCTATATACATCATCTCTTCTATGTGTAGAGTGTCTATACAATTTGTATTGGACAGTTTCTTTAATCTTTGTAACAACCGCATCAACTGAACGCGAAACCATCCTAAAAACTCTATGGTTACGCTCCTCCCAAATGTGATACAAATAAACAGTTCAGGCGAGCTTTAAAAACCTCACTCGAGGGGACTTACCCTTCAAATTCTCAACCAGCCAGTCCATTCGTTCATCCCAGCTGTACAGACCAGAACGAATCCCACACACGACAAGAACATCATCCCAAACCTCCTTAGCAAAGGAACAATTAGCAAATAGGTGGTCACGTGTTTCCAGCCCATTGCCACACATAATACAACCATTGTCCATTTCCAGACCAAAACGAATCAACCTGTCCTTAGTGGGCAGTCTATTAAGGATGACCATCCATGAAATGAGAGAGCATTTCGGAATATGAGCAGGGAACCAAATGACTTTGTGCCAGTTAACCTTCTCTCTGCTAGTTCTGATATTTTCCCATATCCATTTACTGCTAATTAAATGCCAATCAGCACTAGGAAGAAACAAAGTTCTAGCCACCTCGCGGAGCTTCAGCAGCTTTTTGATAATCCAACTGAAATGGCCTTTACAGATCACTTCCCAAAAACTCACAGCTTTAAAACAATACTCTTTAATCCAAGCTATCCAAAAAGAGCCTTCATTAGCCAGAATGTTTTTAATCAACAGCAAGCAACACGCTTTACTCCACAGAGATAGGTCTCTAAGACCCAGACCACCCTCAGACTTCAATGAACAAATCTGGTTCCATCCAACACGAGCTCCTCTGGCAGGAGAGTCACTGCCCTTCCAGAAAAAACGCATGCATAGCCTCTCAATGTCCCTGACAATCCCCTTGGGGAGGATGAGCTGTCTGCTCCAATAATTGAAAATACTGTGCAGCACAGTCTTGATCAGCTGAAGCCTACCCCCAAAGCTAAGCTTCTTGTTAGACCATTGGGAAAGCTTGTCCCTAATTCTCACCAAAAGAGCAGCACAATCCTTGCTGGAGAGTTTCCGAGTGACCAGAGGTACTCCAAGATATCTAACAGGTAACTGAGCCACTCTAAATCCAGTAACAGAATGTATCTGATCAAGGGAACTCCCACTTAAACCACAAGCGAACAGTTCCGTCTTCAGAGCATTGAGCTTAAGTCCTGACAGAGAATAAAACCCCTCAAGGGTGCATTGGACCCCAAGAACAAATTCAAGGGAACCATAACAGAACACAAGGAGATCATCAGCAAAGCTAAGGTGAGTTAGGGAGATTCTTCTACATTTCGGATGGAATCTAAAAATTCCAAGCTTAACAGCTTTGTTCAGCGTAGCAGAAAGAACATTCATCACCATGACAAAAATATAAGGAGACAAGGATCACCTTGTCTAATCCCCCTTGCCCCCTTGAAATACCCCACCAAGCTACCATTCAAGCAAACAGAATACATAGGGGTAGTAATACACTCCCTAATCCAGTAACAGAAAACTTCAGGAAAGCCCATAGCCTCAAAAACAGTCAGCAGAAAGTCCCAGTTAATGGAGTCAAAAGCCTTTTGCAAATCAATTTTAATAGCACATCTAGGAGATAGTCTATTCCTAGAGTATCCTTTCACAATTTCCTGGGCTAAAAGGGTGTTATCAACAATGCTCATACCCTTTACAAAGGCTGACTGGTTATAGGAAATCATGCTAGGGAAATAAGGAGTAAGCCTATTAACCAGGATTCTAGTGATGGTTTTGTAAACTACTGAACAACAAGAAATAGGCCTAAACTCCTTTGCCATACATGCATTCAAAGACTTTGGGACCAGGACTAATATTGTAGCATTAAAAGCAGGCAATAAACAGGAAGATTGGAAAAATACCGTACGGCAGCAATAAAATCACTGCCTACAATGCTCCAGGCAGATTTGAAGAAACCAGAAGTATAACCATCAGGGCCAGGGCTTTTGTCCTTACCTTGCTTAAAGAGAGCATCTTTAATCTCCAAATCACTGACCTCCTTTATAAGGAAGGTATCTGCACCATCAGGCAAAGAGTAGTTCAGAAGGTCCTTCAAAGCTTCAGCTGAACACCCTTTTACAAGAGAATCAGGGGAGCCAATGAGGTTGGTGAAATAACCCACTAGCTCAGTAGACATTCCTTCAAAAGAATCATAGCACTACCCATCCTCACTCTTAATAACCATAATAGTGTTCCTCTTCTTGTTGGAGAGGACCCTTTGATGAAAAAACTTTGTATTCAAGCCACCCTCCCTTATCCAATGGACATTGGCTTTCTGTCTATAGAAAACAGCTTCAGCAACTTCTAAATCAACTAAATCAGCATGGATCTTCCTTTCTTCATCAATCCTCCTCTGGTTAATGTGAGCTAGATTGAAAATCTGAATCTGCTCCAATTCTGCCCTCTTATTCTTGACTCTACCAGAGATATCAGCAAAATAATCCAAATTAAACTGCTTAAGAATAGGCTTAAGTCTTTTCAACTTGTTGAATAAGCAACTCATAGCATCACCAGCACATTGGCCCTGCCAAGAATCCCTAACAATATCTAGGAATTTCTCATGATCAGACCAAATGTTAAAGAACTTGAATGGCTGAGGGTTCTTTGCCATAATTCCCTTATGAGTCCACAGCATACCCAGGCAATGGTCAGATACCCCTTGGGCCTTGAATTCAACAAATGAATCAGGGAAATCCACCAGCCAACGGTCATTAACAAGGATTCTGTCCAACTTACGAGCCAAGAAAGATCCTTCTTGCTTATTGGACCAAGTAAATAATGGTCCAAGGAAAGGGTGGTCCATGAGCTCGAGATATTCCATGCAGTCTTGAAAGTCCTTCATATCAGGAGT